TTAATAGCTACCTTCTTAATACAGTTTTCTAGATGAAGGGTCATCATCATCAGTATGAGGGCACACATGTTTCTAAAATTTTGGGTCCTATTTAAAAAAACTTTTTTTTCCTTTTTTAGGTGGCTGGCCAGTACAGGGGTCTGAACCCTTGACCTTGGTATTACCATCACCACACTAAGCTACTGAGCTAACTGGCCAGCCCTAAAAAATAATTTGAAAAGAGTATATTTGATAATTTTTAGAAGTTAGGATGGTTTAACAGTACTTACTGAAAAATCAGAGAAATTAAAATACTTCTTCTGTCTGTGGTATATTCAGACTGATATACTAGGTAGAACACTTCAACAGGTCTCCACAGTATTTAGACATCATTATTTGCTTCAGAGTTGCCTGTTGGTTTTGAATAAAATAATTCAGTAATATTTTAAAATAAACTTACATTTTATTATTTCATCATCCTCCTCATAATCTGAGAACAGTAGTATATCAGAGCATGAACTATGATTTACTTGGTCTTTCGACATACTTGGTATTGGATTTGAGAATCCCTTGGTATAACACTGATCTAGGGTCTAGACCTTGGAAACCAGTGGCTAACCAGGAAGGATGTGGGTTTTTTCTGGGCTGTAGAGATGAGATGGAGGTGAGAGGCTTGTGTCCTGGTAATACAGATGCTAACTAGGCCCTTGGCACAAGAGGAAGCTCATCAGTATGCTAATAAGTAAGAGGTAACGTTTGGATTGGAACCAGGCAGTCTTATTCTGAAGCCCTCAATTATAACCCTTGTATTATACTGTGCTATGTGTAGGGTAGGGACAATATCTTGTTCACTTTTGTGTCGTCAGTGCCTAGCACAATTACTTGTGACATGACAGGACCTTAGTAGGGGTTTATTGAATTAATTATTGTCAAATAAACTTTTATATGATCTTTAACCTTGCAATTTATACCATAGCTTTGCATAATCATGTTTAAGATTCTCCCTAATTCTCTTCATAACTGTATAATCTTCTACTCCTTAATAAGTCACCAACTTCTAAAGGAAGATTTGAAAAGGAAGGGTCAGATAAAAATTTTGAATGCCTTCTGAGTTTAAAGAACTTAGTTGTCTGTGGGGCAGTATTTACCAAACCTGGCTGTGCATCAGAATCATCTGGGGACTTGCATTCCTCGGAGCTATGTCCCTGTATCTATTTAAATAATATCTTCAGAACATGGGATAATCTGCATTTTTATTAAGCTTCCCAGGTTATTCTTAAGCACCCAGCCTAGCATTTAAGAACTGCTGCAGAGAACTGATAGAAATGGAAGACTATTTGGTCAGAAGCAGCTTAAAGTTTAGATGAAAAGACACACATGCAAGATGTAAACAGTAATTCATGACAAGGGAGTAAGAAGGCAGTATATGATTAACTGCCAAGAGAATGGTCCAGACAGTGAGGACTCTTGA